GATGTTTATTCTGCATTCAGTAGGTCTTACCTGAGAAACTTGAAATTGTTATTTGAGCCGTAAATGGACCGTTTTAAATTTGATCAATTAGAAGCCTTTATTTTTTTGAGAGTTTAATCTAAATTGCAATATGTTCGTTTATATTACGGAGATATTTGATTGTGATCCTTCCAGTAAGTACGTATTTATGTACCTGATTCTCGAGCTTTGACCCTGCGACGCTGTTTTCAACTGTACTCTATTGATCATGCTGGTAAAATAATATTTTTTGTCTTGTGTGCCTGTCGATTAACAACATTTCTCTTCTTGTATTTTTGTGTCTTATATATAGTTCTTCGATTTGTAAACAACGACAGTCTTTTTTAAGACTATAGATTGTATTCGCGGTACGTCATAACAATACAGATAAATATTTATTAGGAGCTTACAATTAAATATTTTTTGAAGGTAATGTAGAGACCGTGGAATGAAGCAGATGTTCCCCTGACAGAAGAAGACGTGGAAAACAACGTAGAAAAAGAACTACCTCAGCAAATAAAAAAAAGCTCCATGCAGCAAATGCTTCAAATGCAGAAGGGCAAATAGGAGTAGCAATAAAAACAAGTGACATGACCAAAGTTCCGAAGTCAACGTTAAGAAAAATGGATAGTCAAGAGGAAAGCGAGAGAAGATACTGGTACTGCGCGGATTTTTAAAGAGCACCACGCAGATCTAATTAGGCGTATAATATACGACGCTTATGAAGTGAATAGTGTTTTAACCCTAGAAGAACATCATAAAAAGGGACTGCATATTTTATATTATTTATTTGCTACGTAGAATTAGAACGTAATAAATTGGTACTTTGTACTATTTTTTTATGTACATGTTTCACGAAAAAGATTGAAAACAGACTTGTAAGTGTAGGTAGATCAATTCTTAGGACGGTCATGGAATGGTGACCGGTAAGGGTCTGCTCGGCAGGGTGTTCTCTAATTGGCTCCGGTTTTTTAGTAATTAACAGTTAATCGCGGGGTCGGTTGTAAAAGCACTTTATTTCTGGTAAAAGTATAAATCCTCGATGAAGGCAATTAACAAGTTTTTACGGAAGCGGGCCACAAATCGGAATTAATAATCGGTCGGAGTGGTATTAAACATCTCGATAACTGTTTATGTAACGCCATACGTATAACGTAACGTTACATATACCGGTCATCCATCTCGTAACAGTACGATTGAAACACAGAAATTTCCATATTAGGACGACGCGATGTTTCTCAGATTAAAACCGCGCATTCTTTCAACGAGCAAAAGAAAAACGTCACCGTCTACAGCCGCTTATGGATAAATCGTAAAATTTACAATCCGCTTCAGAACAATGTTTGCACGAATCGTCTTGCTGGTTCAAGTTTATTCAGATTTAGAGAAATATGTTTTAATTTAATATGAAAAATAACATATACTTTTAAAAGGTCATATGAAAATAAAATGACAAATTAACAAAAGGTTAAGGTTTAAAATAGTGATAACTTGTTAGGGTGTAACTAGCCCCCTTTACATACGATGGGAAGTGCAATTGAATTCTTCATCTTCAAAAACCCGGTAATCCAAATTTTTGTGTCCATATCGCAACAGCTTGACTAAACCATATTTGTAAAATTTGTAAAAAATTGCCTGTTCAAATTATGGCATGGCAGCCACATTTTATTTTATTTTTTATTAATTACTAAACACATTGCGAAAGTATTGAATAATTATTATATTATTTATTATTCGACAATTATTACAGACTAATTGTTAATACAATTTCTTGGGTGTTAATTTGGCCCACAGTACATCGTGGAGACTTGCAGTAAAAAGTTTCATTAGTGAAGTGGCTAAAAGAAGACGGTGGAAAACATTTTCAGAATTACCAAGATGGTCGCCAGGGGAAGTAACGCTCATTTAAAAGTTTTAAAGTAATTTTTCCGTGAAATCCCCTCCTGCTTTCTAAAGTTTTATTTTTGGTTAAAATTTTCGATGCATCTATTAAAATAAAGCGTTTGAGTTGATTTAATATTTTTTTAAACTCTGAAACGATCGCACATATTTTAACAACCTTGGTCTTGTTGCATTCACCTCATCTGGGATGCATTTTATGATACCAATAATAAAGAAAATTGCAAAATTAAAAGAAATTGCAATAATATAAATTTCTTTTTTATAAGGATGTAGTGGAATTTTACCACTTTTAGTCAAAACCGAATTGAAAAATTTTGCTACTTTTAAAATTAAAAGTGTAACGCATTACAAAGCTGATATACTGATACTGAAAATCATAAGGAAAGAATGTAAACGAAATATATATGAATGAGGTGAAACAACTCTACAAAGGAGCAAAGTCCATGCTTATTACAATTTATCTAATATAATATTTCTACAAAGCAATGGCGAAGCTGGAATTTTAGCTTAATAGAAAAGGACTAGATACATGGTAATTGGTAAAGCAAAATGATAAAGGAACCACGGAGCAGATAAAAGAATAGAATTAGACCCTTTAATTTGGCACGATGCCTTCACAAGCAAAACCAAAAACATTTCAGTGGTATAGACAGGAGCTAAACAAGGTAAACAAAAATTGGAAGCCATTAATGAGATGATGTTTTTGAAGGAGAAGATTTTACCGCGAATATCAAATCAACCAATTTATAAGCAGAATAATGTAAGTCCCGTAACCCACATGAGGAGAATGGTCACAAAGATTAGCACAACATTAGACCAAAGAAAAAGAATAACGAGATCTGGGAAAACTTGGAAGTAAAGAGACACGAATAAAATTACAAGATACAATGAGTGATTCAGTGATTCATTTTCAACAAAAAAGTGTATATAAACACGAGTGTCGGTCTCGATCAGCAGCGAAGCTACAGGGTGTCAAAATGTGTTTATTTTGTTTCTCTTAATTATCACTTTCAAAGACATTAGTTTGAAAACTGGTTAGTTTGGTTTGGTTAATATTTCCTGGAAGATTGTCATTTTAAGTATTTTTAAAAATTGCTTTTCGAAACTTTTTTGGGGGTAGAGGCTTCTTTATCCCCCAAACTTTTTCGTAGTACGATTGGGACATTTTTTAAGTGCCAAATTGAGTGGTCGGTTCAATTCATAGTTTTTAGCGATTTTAACTTCTTTTCGATATAAATAAGCATATCCCCTTTAAAACAGGTTAATTTTATGTTTGCTTAAATTTAATTCTTGAAGTAACATGATCACAATTTGGATCAGTAGCGGGGATACAAAGGGTAAAAGGTCAAGTGCTTTTTTAGTTTTAAAAGTTGATTAAATGATTCATTCATACATTCTATAATGTAGAAAATTCCTAAAACCTAATCCAAAAGTTGAGTAAGTAAGTAATTTATCTCGAAAACGGTTCGTTTCTCTAAAGAATTAAAATATAACCGTCTAAAACAAAAAAGTCACCCTATTTGAGGCATATAACACCAACTATTTAAAAATCTGCAAATGTATAAAGTGATGATATTCTGGGACGCATTAGCCACAACAGATTTCAAGTTGATAGCTTCACAAGTGACCGAGATGTCTTAATTAATTTAAAAAAATATCAAATTTTTTGTTTTGAAGTTGAAGCAAAACTCACTACCAAATAATTTTAATAATTCACTAGACGTCGTATTTTATGAAAAGTAGCACCGGGTTAGTAAATCAAAGGTACGACCTGTTATTAGAGAAATTAAAGAACGTAGTGAAACTGATAAGTATGAAATATCGCACCGCGTTTAAAACCACAACGCGAATATTTCTTCTGGTTATTGCAGTAGTTTCGGACTCCGGAATAATTATTTTGCTCGCTGAAGCTATATGGTTATTTTACGTCTATTTTCGAGCCCTGTCGAGTAATAAATTATCGTTAATAGATGGCCACAATGGCTGCAACCATAACGAGCGTTCCGTGGAAAATAACATGCAGTTCGTGGGGCTTTATTTTCGAAAAGCAGAGCCTTAGATTTATTTGAAATTTGGTATAACGAAAGCTCATTTTCAGTCATTATTTTTATTTAACAATTGCTTTAAAATGTGTTATTGGGAAGATCTTTGAGCAACAGCTGTTGCGAATGTAATTAACTAATCACTAACTAACTAATTAATTATTTTTTTAGCGTAGGTGCTACTTGGGTCGCTGTGAAGATACAGTCGAATCAAAATTTGTATAAGCAGCCTGCTTTTCTGTTTATTAAATTTTTTTTTTCATCGTTTGTTTTGATTTAAAATGTATAAATCTAGGAGTAAGATAAAAATAAAAATAAAAATTGGAATTAAAAAATTAAAAAAGTAGTAAAAAGTTAGTTTTTGAATTAAGCTTTCTTCTAAATGGAACCAAAAATATCACATAATTTTTAAACGTAATCTAGAAACCTTCTTAGACAATACAAAGAATGTATTATTGCAGAAATAAGTGTAATAAAGTGTAATGTTTTTTTAAAGCACTAATTGGTTAGCTTTAGTTAGTTTGTAGAAACATCTTTTTTCTTTACTGGTTAGTGTGCCGAGGATGTCGTTATTGTTTTATATTCGTAATTATTTGGCGAGTTATGCATTTTGTTGAAACAGTCGAGTTTTGTCTCACTTTCTATCACGCACAACAGAGCCTTTTGCACTATTTTTTACAACTTCAAATTTTATATCTTTGTCGTTAGTTACCACAAAGATAATCCAACCTTATTCTTAGCGATGCCTATCACGCTCAGCAATCCTGGATTAAGGTATACTAGGTATAAAAAGAGACGACGAATTCTTTTTTTTCGAGGATGAATAGTACTACCCGGGATTGGTCCAATTTATGGGTACGAGTTTATCCTCTTTACCTTTGTTCCAATATAAAAAAAGCTGGGAGCTTTCAACTTAACTCTGTTATTAATGTATCAGACATTTGTATTTATTCCATTATAAATTTTATCTGCAGATATTTTATTATTCTACACTTCCCTAAAATAGCGTATAACTCAGGAGTTGTGCATATGACTCACCAAAGATACACTTCTTTGTCCTAGTCCGGGGCTTGTGCGTCCGGGAGGATCTGTATCTGCCTCCGGTGGACAATCGGAGTGCAGTGAAGCCCTAGGCCTTCGACTAGCTTGACTTCGGGAACGCGTGGGACTTCTCGGGCAGACGAGAGACGTCATGACGTCATATTTTCGTTTATGTCCCGCGATGTGAACTCAGCTGAAACAACCGAAACACTTGCTACAGATTACAAGTTTAAGTCTTCACGGTTGGCGCTGTTATTGCTTATCGTTTTGTTTTGACTCGCGACAGCAATGGTAACCACCATTGCTTAGAAATATTAAAAGTTATATATATATATATATATATATATATATATATATATATATATATATATATATATATATATATATATATATATATATATATATATATATATATATTTTCACTCCGACTGGAATCCTGCAGACGTTTCGCCAAAATCTCACTTGGCATCTTCAATGCTCGCGCTCCGAAAACAAAATGTTTGATAAAGACACGGTGTGGTCGAAACAATTGTCATGTCATAATATATAATTTCGTGAAAATCTGAACTTTTAGTAAAAGCCACCTCAGTTCAATATATATTTTTCATTTTAACATTTAATTTTTTAAGATATAGATGTTCCTATTTTTTAGTTAATACATATATTTTTAAAAACATTAGAAAGACTTTACATTACATATTTCGAATACTTGGTATATCAATTTTAGTTAGTTATTATTAATTTTATATAATACACATATTTTAAGATAACGTTTGATCGCCGAATAACAATGCATAGAATTTCAGTGGCCATCGTTTTCTGAATGAACTGCCGCAACTTAAATTGCTTTTAAACACGAAATTTTATTGTCGCACCCAGTATATAGACAACACGCATAGCGTCGGAGCATCCACGTTACGTAATCACTTAATTATCGGTTCATTCGGATTACAGAATTATACTACTCTAATTAATTGAGCGATTAATTCTTACAAAAATCCAGCCACTTATTCGAAGGGGACATTTTAAAAGTATTTTTATGCGCAATACTAACATAACCGGTAGAAATAAAGTAGAATTTAGTAGGGAAGGACTCGGAGCGGCTTAACTTTATCGCCTGATGTAAATTTCAATAAATTTAAGTCGATTATCTCTGCCGTCCGCGTCAGAAAACTTAGAAGCTCCTCCGAGCCTGCATAAATAATATGGCAACGGATAGTTTTGCATACGCAAACAAAAATCTCCATCCGAACGTTTGCTCAGCAGATTAAAATTAATAGCGAATCAAATAGGCAAACAAAATTAATAATATCATTATATAATTATGTAAAGTTAAGGTGACATTATGGTATTGATGTAATAATTTATAATATAAAATTGCTGTGTGCAATTGACAGTTATTTGGAATTTACACATGTTCTTCTCATAATAAAGATCTTGTCTGAAACGGTAGTATCAAATATGGCGTACCACAAGGTTCAATATTATTCTCTCTGATATTTATTGTATTTATTAATGACCTAGCGCAATATATGACCTCAACTACACCTGCTATTTTTCCAGTTTCAATTTTAGCCACCGATTCAAGATTTACGATTAGTAATACAGTAAAATTACTAAAACTTTGTTGGTTAGTTGCTTAAAAAACTTATTAAAGGAGTTCAGTGTTAAATTACCAAATGACGCAAGCTTTTTTAGTACTGTTAAGCCTTCATTCGATTTTTGTGTGGAGCTTTTTATAGAACTCATTGTAGGGCTAATGCGATTACTATGTGTTTCAATTTATATCACTTTAATTTTAGTTTTTTAATTAATTAACAAAGGCTGATTTATTTAATTTAAATTTTAAAAGAATAATTCTTTTTTTAAAAATAAGTAATATATAAATGCTCTTATTGATTTTTTGCCTGTGTATTGTTTTATAATTAAATCGCGTCTCTATCATTTTTATAGAAAATAAAAAAGACAATAGAATACTACTACTACTTTTATGACTATAGCATAAGAAGACTACTAAATTTCTAAATACCTTAGCCTTGAAAGATTGTAAATAGCAATTCTGTTTAAAAATGTATACTGCAATATCATTTGATCACCTATGTTTTTTATGAACTTTTAGTAGATAAATAAAATTCTGCTACAATAAAATAACAGACCCTGCTCATGAGATTTTAAAACCAAAGCAATATTCTTATGCTCCTTAAAAAAAATAAAACAAAAAGTCATAAAATAAATGGGTTAATAAATCATCAATCAAAAGTTAGTTTGAATTTAAAAGTTAAAGAGTACAATAGTGGGGGAATTAGTGAATAAATGAAGTGAACATCTGCTTTTGGTCATGGCCTACTAGACACTTCGACCGTTACAAAACATCCGACATACGCGAGGCGTATCGGACTTGTCTTTTGTCGCTAGAGAGGTTCAACACTTGGGGTTGAGCTGACGCCTTTGAATTAAAATTAATCGAGTTAGTAACCGAAAAAAGGGACGATATAAAAGGAAAAATTTAGTTTCGATTTATTTAAGAGTCCAAATTGATTATCAATTCGGTTTTCGTACGTTATTACTTAGAAGGTAACAAAATTTTAAAACATTTCGTTGACCACGTCACAAAAAATTATTGCGTAAGCATCCATTTGAATAATTTATTGAAATTGCGTTTACAAAAAGGTTTTCCGGTAAATATAATCCGGCTATTTCGTTAAAACGTGTTTACTAGTTTTTCCCTTTTGCCATTAAGCCAGTTTCAAAACTTTATTTGCTGTTAGAAAGGGACTACACCTCCTGTAACTTCAAACAAAATGGTAGCGTCTCTGTTTGATAAGCGGCCGCCGAGACGCAACATTTTTGAGTCTTACAACATAATGATCATGGTTCTTGGTTTTTTGGGCGCAAGCAGATTAAAAATTGATCTGCGGAAATCCGATTATGTTCGTTCAAACGCATTGCACGTGCTCCAAATAGCAGCTTTCTCGTCGTATCTGGCCGCTTTCGTCTTATTTTTCGTCTATCCGGAAGAATTTTTGTACACGCTCGGTAAAGAGGTGAGTATTAAGAATACAGAGTGAATAGGCTAGAAAGACAATTTTTGACGCAATACAAAAAGCACAAACTGTACTCTTTCTTGGCGACTTGGAAATGACAAATCAATCCAATCTGCAGTTATCAACCAACAACCTCACTTTATGAATTGATTACTAACTGGAAGGAGGATTTTTGACAAAAAAATTATAAGAAATGAATGAAACTCCAGTTTTACTAATCGATTTCGTTTAAGGTCCGATCAAAATGACCTTTTCTTATCAATCTTTGTAACGAAAACTACCGCAACTTGCAGTTGAGGCGGTTGGGTCGGTGAAGAATTTATGAGGCAAAAATTATAATAAATGAGTGAAAGTTCAGTTCTTCTGGTCGATCTTTATCAAGTTCCAGTGAAAATCAGCTCTTTCCTCAATTGTAGTCCTGGAAACCACCTCAAAATTGCAGCTATAATCCAAGAACTTATTTTTCCTTGTTGAGTACTAACTCAGGGGAGGATTTTTGACGAAAAATTTGCAACAAGCTACTAAAATTTCAACTCATCTAGCTGACTTCTATCACATTCCAATTAAACTCAGCTTCCCCTAATTTTACGAATGAAAACTACTTCCAACCTCTAGTTGTAAACCAAAAAGCTCCCAAAGAAGAATGTTTGACGAAAAAGTACATTAAACGAGTAAAAATTCGCTTCTTCTAGTCGATTTCTATCAAATTACAGTCAAAATCAGTTCTCCAAATTTTTGTATTGGAAACTACCTCAAACTTGCAATTGTAAATCAAAAACTTCTGTTTCTGGGTTGAATACTAACTCATTAAAACTTCAATTCTCCTAGTCGACGCCTTCCACGTTCCAGTCAAAATCAGGTCTCATTTTATGAGTTCAAAGCAATACAATTTTTATATGGGCCTCTGCTAGTTTGGATTTCACGTTACAGGAGTCGGCCCTCAGAACTTTGAAAGCATTCTCGTGCCTCTTGGTGCAAGGACCTCTATTAGTGCATCAAGTGGCGAGTCTCTTAAGTCCAAGTGAAAGGATACCTAATCTATTCACAAAAATTTATCAACAAGATGCGAAACTCTTCGGACGAAACGAAGGTGCCAACGATCTGGTGGATGTGGTATTTTTTTTTGCGATGACGCTCCTGCTAAATATACCCATGGAGATTTACTATTTCGCGCATTTGACGCTGGCCCAGGCAGATCGCTATGGTTTCTTCATATCCGCCGTCGGGTCCTTCGGCGGCCTCGTGTCTCACACCGTGGAAGCATTCTATTCTGCATTTTCTTGCACCACGCGAAGGCGATTTCTGGCTATTAACCGGAGAGCGATAAAGCTGAAAGAAGCGCTGATCAACGGTGAGAAAAATTCGTCAATCAAGTAAAGTGGCAATGATGCAGAGTTTGTAGATGAATTAGTTTACTTCGGAGGAGGACGGGAACTGTACGCTGAGCTACTGATTTTGCGCAGCTTGTACATTTCGTTGTGTGACTGTAAGCTGATATTGAATGACATCTTCAAAATTTATATGGTGGTGACGGTGCCGTGTTTAGCTGTAAACGCGCTAACCAATACCTATATCGTCTGGAACGTTTTGAGTCAGCAAAACGAAGGATATTTCACTGAACAGATAACGATTAATTCCATTTTGATCGTTTACAGCTGTTTTAGAATGTTCAGCTTATGTTACGTCGAAGGAGCTTTGTGTTCTGAGGTAAGCGATTTGTCTGACCAACTGCACCAACTAAATTTTAAATGCTCAGGCGAGTAGAATTAGGAAGATTCTCGCGGAGATGCTGGATTTGCCAATGGATGAACGTTTGAAAGAAGAGGTATGGGTATTATGAGAATGCATGCATACAAAAACACATTGATAGTAATTTCGGTTGTAGGTTAAACTCTTTTTTGTTTGTACAACCGCAGTCGCTATTGTGTTTTCCCCTTGTGGATTATTTACTATTGGTTATCGTCTGATTACCTCAGTGAGTAAAATTTTAATCTTTATTATAGGAAATATTTTTATAAAGAAGCTAACTCAAACGTTATAGTGGTGTTCTGCTGGAAATAATAGTAATAGCAGCAGGGTGCATATTCAGAGGAGACCCCTTCCAAACCGCGATAGTTGTGAAGCCAGTCGAACATTTTGATGGCACCTG